GACTGCTGGCTTGTAGTGGGAGCTAAAAACCAAAACAAAAATAATGTACGAAAAAGAATGTGAGACAAATTCTAGACATCAAGATTCAATTTCTGGTACTGTTTTTATTAGGCAACCTTATATAACATGATGCTGAACTTCGATGTTTCATTGATTCTAAGATGCACATTTTTCATTCTTTGAAATGTAGATGCATCTTAAAATCAGTTCTTCGTAAAAGTCATAGAGAAAGTTGTGGTTTCTTGGATTTGCTAAAATACAGTGTTTTGTCTTTTTAACTTTTTTGAGATTAACAACTTGTCTTACTTCATGTGGACTTACTGTTGGGATCAATAGGGCTAATGTTTTCAACAGATTAGATATTTCTTATATGCTAGATGAGGCATTTTGCTAGGCACTTTTCATATATTATCTGTCTTCAGGTGTTAGGTTTTAGCTATTTCTATAGTTAGTTATTATTACTGTACTACTTAAGCTTCAGAAAACTCAGTGAGGTGATAGCTTGTTCAGTTTTTATAACTGAAGAGTCTAAGACAGAGAGGGGCTTATGTAATTTAGCAGTATTACTAAATTAGAGCACTTTTTTCTATATTGCCTCTCAGTTGTCTTCATTGACAGAGAAAAGCTGAAGTTAAAAGAATCTTCACACCGTTCCATAATTCAGTGGTTCTGTCTGGTTGATTATCTGCTGTTGTTCCTAATCCATCCACATTTCTAGTGTTTACTCCTGGGTCTGTATAGTGCATTGGTCAGCCAGTGATTGGTCAGACTCTGGGCTCAGATACCTCAACATTGACCTTTGCTTAAGGATTGGGAGTGCATTTCAAGTTTGGGCGGTCTTTAAATTTTCTGTGGCTTTTGTTTTCCACTGGGCCTTCTCATCTCTGTCCCACATGTGCATGCCAGCTCAGTCAGTCAGGAATGTGTGGGTGTTTAGACCTTCTTTGGAGTCTCCTTGGGTGGATGCACGGATTGCTTATCAAGGCCCCCTATAGCTATCTCATTTTCTAGATCTTCCTATTAAATTTCTGGCTAGTTTCCCAGTCCATTGCTTATCACAAACAGAACTCTAAGTTCAGGCTACTGAACTGCTGGTCTTCCCTGTTCATTTGCCATTGCGCTTACTAGTGTTACAGCGTTGCTGGGGTTGCAGTTTTTCTATGCTCCATTTCAAATCAAGCCAGTTTTTTTTACAATTACCCACCTCTCCCAAATAGAACAGCTTTGCATACTGAAATGGAGTTGGGCATAAAAGCATCCCTGGGTAAGAATGCCACATACTTCCCTGTTCTTAACCTGAAGACATTGAATTTTTTATTACCAATTGATCCCCAATTTGGTTGATTTTCACGGCCCTGAAATTGTTGTTCAACTGTTTTGTCCAGGTTCATTGATAGATTTTTTGGAGAAAGTTTGCTGAGCTACTTAATTTGCAATGTGAGAAATTCCATCTCTCCTTTAGATTTACTCTTATATTTACCACTTTTATGGTATTCATTCATTCTTGCAACACAAATGTTCTATCTGGATTCACTTTCCATGTGTCTTAAAGTACATCCTCTAGAATTTTCTTTAATGAGTATGTGCTGGTGTCACATGCACTATTATTTATGAAGAATATTCTATTGCAGGTAGAATTCTAGGTTGTCAGCTGGGTGTAGTGGCATATACCTATAGTCCTAGTGACTTGGGAGGCTGAGGCTTGAGGATTGCAGGTTCAAGATCAGACTCAGCACCTTAGTGAGGCCCTATCTTGAAATAAAAAATAGAAGGACTAGGGATATGGTTCAGTAGTAAAGTGCCTACCTCTGGTTCAACCACCAGTATCCATAAATAAATAAATAAATAAATAAATTCTATGTTGTCATTTATTTTCAGGACATCGAAAGCACAACTCCATTGCTTTCTGGCTTCTGTTCTTGCTGTTGAGAAGTCAGTAGTTTATGTGTGATTTCTTTAAAGGTCATTTTCCTGAGGGAGCACTTAGGATCTACCTTTGTTCTATGTTTTGTTTTTTTCTTTCTCTTTTTGTTACTGGGGATTGAATCCAAGCGTGCTTTGCCACTGAGATATATTGCCAGTCTTTTTTATTTTTTTAAATTTTGAGACAGGGTCTTGCTATGTTACTGAAGGTCTTGGTAAGTTGCTGAGGCTGGCCTCAAACTTGAGTCTCCTGTGTTAGCCTCCCACATTGCTAGGTTTATAGGTGTGTGCCACTGCATCCTGCTTGGTGTTCTGTAGTTTCACTTTTCACTTTATATGTCTTGATATGTTTTTACTTTTATTTACCTTACTTGGAATCTGTTGGATATTTTGGTCCTGAGAATTAATGTTTTTTTGCTTTCTTTTGTTTTTATTGATTGATTGTGGTATTGGCAATTGAACCCAAGGGTGCTTTACCATTGGGCTACATCCTCAGCCCTTTACATTTTTTTTGAGACAGGATCTCATTAATTTGCTGAGGCTGGCCTCAAATTTGTGATTCTCCTGCCTCAGCCTCGTGAGTCTCTGGGATCACAGTCTTGTGTCACTGCACCTGGCTTTTTGTTTTTAAATCAGTCTAGGAAATTGATACTATTTCTTCAAGTAGTGCTGTGTCCTCTTCATTTATCCATTTTCTATTTCTAGATTGTATGTTAAATGCATTTTAGATTTTTTCACTCTATCATGCGTGTTTTTAAAAGTTTTCTCCATATTTTTCTTTTCTCTTTTGCTGCTTTGTGTATAATTACTTACTCAGAGACTTTCTTTCCCCCCATTCTTCTTGACTACACATATTTAACATAGGAGTTTGGTGGGATTTAGTTCTGTTTCACTCATGGACTGAGGGTATACAACCCTTTCATGGTCCCCACTCATTGTGGAGAGCGACTTCTCTAAGATGTGAGTGGGGCTTGTACTTGGGTCTTGAATTATGTCTTTGTGTCTCTTGAAGACTGCCAGGACCAAAGTCCTAAGTTTATATAGGTCAGCAGTGGTTTGCAGACAAAAGTCTTCTAGATCCCACAGTTCTCTGGGTTTTTGCCTTCTTGGTTTAGATTTTTAAAAAATATTTTAGCTAACATTTTTCATTATTTTCAATGGGAAGATTGCCCAACCTGTCATTATCAGAAGTGGGTAGGTTCCTTCTATTCACCCCTTGGACAGTATTGTCTTTTATATTTGCTCTCCACATATTTATCATCACCAGTGTTCTTCGTTCCTTCTTCTTTTTTTTTTAAAAAATATTTTTTTTAGTTGTTAATGGACCTTTACTTATTTTTCTGTGGTGCTGAGAATCGAACCCAGTGCCTCACACATGCCAGGCAGCTCCCTACCACTGAGCCACAACTCCAGCCCTTTATATTCCTTCTTGTAAATCCAGGATTCTATCTGGTATCATTTTTCTTCAGTCTGAAGAACTTCTAGCATTTCTCATGGTATAGGTCGGCATGTTATTTGTAAACCTTAATGGTATCCTTACATTTAAATGAAATTCTGCCCCTATGTAGCAGGACTGCTAAAACAATGATAATGAGATAGAAACTAAGGATCATATAAGTATGGAATCCTGCTGGTCTTAGATTAGAATTCTAAAACAATAACTCCGGGAATGTTCAACCACTGAACTACATTCTAGCCCTTTTAATTTTATTTTTGAGATAAGGTCTTGATAAATTGCCACGGCTTGCCTTAAACTTGCAATCCTCCTTATTTAGCTTCCCAGATGCTGGGATTACAGGTGTGTGCCACCACTGTTGGCTTGGGATTTAGTTTTTATATAGCCCAATACAAAAATGATTGTAAAATGTGCTTACTGTTTTATCATCATGCCATTTAGCCCTTTTTCTCCCTCTGGGCTTTGGGTTTTCTCCACATCCCCTCCTACTTTGTTCAGGAAAAAACTGCCACAAAGCCAAGAACAGTTACTCTTATGAAGACCTTTTTATTTACTGATTTAAATAATATGAATGTTGCTAATTTAATAAGATTGGTTATGTTTACCTTCATCAATAAAAGTCCAAATATTTACTCTAGAGGAAATGAAAGCAATTGATACTTCATATTTAGTTTCTTTTGATGTTATTAAAAACCCTTAGAATTTTGACTTTTCAGAGAGTATTTCAACTAACTACATAAAAAGTAATGTTCATTCAGAGCGTAAAGCTGATCTTGTCACTCCTAACTTTAAAATTTCAATGGCTCAATCTCTTATACAGAGTAGTGTTGGCTCCTTGGCAAGGTATAAAAGATCCTTCTGTTTGTTTAGTCCTTGATTCTCTCTCCATCTTTGTGTCTTTCCACTCCTGCCAACAGTTGTTCTTAGTTCCCTGACCACACTTTGCTATTTCACACCTTTGATCCCTCGTGTGTCATGTTTCTTTTGCCTGGAATTCCTTATTTTAGTCTGGTAAAACCTGCTTGTTCTTTAAAAGCTGAATTTCACAGCTTCTGATTCTTGCTCTGTTCTTTTAGAGTTTAATATTCCTTCCCATGCTACTGTGTACCTTTTGCATAATTCTGTTATTGAACTTTTTATGAAAAAATATGATTATTTTTATTTATTTATTTATTTCACTGCTGGGGATTAAACACAGTGCCTTGCACATGCTACACAAGTGTTCTATCATTGATTTACATCCCCTGTGATATAATTATGTTAAATAGAGATTTGAACTCCACTGTGAGTTAGAGGCTCTCTGGGTGTATTGTTTATGCTTTGGCTTTTAATAATTATTTATTAAGTGTTGAATAAATGAATGAATTGCCATTTAAAGCCACATTAATGAGACATGGGATTTTATGCTCCTTCTAGAGACTATAATAAGTAAGCAGATAAATTTAGAAGTACCATTATCATCCTCTTTGTATTAATTGGACTATCTCTTCGTTCACTTAATTTTGAAATTTCATATATTTATGAAATCTTTTGATTTTTAAAAACAAAATGTTTTGCTACCTAATTGAAATAATTATAAACAAGTTAGAGTTTTAAAGCATGTTTTAATTTCCATGAACAGAATCCAACATGGCGGAGTCTCGATTTTGGAATAATACCAGACCGTCTTGATACATCTGTTTCTTGCTTTGTGGTGAAGATTTGGGGTGGAAAGGAGGACATCTACCAGCTGTTGATTGAATGGAAAGTCTGTTTGGATGGACTGAAGTACTTGGGTCAGCAGGTAATTTTTAAATTTTAGACTGTGGTTTTCAGTGGTTGTCATTTCCAAATTAACCTAACCTTTGTATTGATGCTTCTGTCTCTACATTTTCTGTTATACAGAGAGATCTTTATGATTCTTTACATAGGCTATTGTTTATTTCTGTTCCTTTTATTGTTAGGTTTGAATTGTTATCTAGTTTAAAAAATATATTTAACTGAAGAAACTTATGCAGAAACACCATAATCTGCTAATTTAAGGGTTTCTTTTTTGTGTGTATGTTTCCAAGAAAGGATATGCTTTCTCACATCATTCTGCTTTTTCTGTCTTATTGGATATTCAACTCTAGAATCTGATGAAAATTAAGTCGAAATAAGAAATATGCCATTATATACCTCTCTTTTGACCAGTGAAGTGGGGTTATTCCAGAAATTAGAAGAGCTACTGTTTATTGAACACAGGGATGACAAATGCCTGGATTATGTACTAACTACTACCTTTCCTCTATCTTTGCTGTTACCAGTGACTGATGTAGTTTACTGATACCAGCACTCTCTTTCCCGAGCCTAAAAGTATAGTTGTTTCTAATAGTATTACAGGACACAGCTAGCAATCATAGTTGCATATGAAATAAAACCTGTTTGCCATCCCAGACATAGGTTATCATCATTAAGGTTTGTAGCAGCCTTATAAAGGGAATCTACTCAATATTATACAGATGGGTAGAGTTAGGATTTAAATCCAGGCCTGGATGACTTAATAAATCATTCTCTTTATGCTATGCTACACTGGTTTGTATATGTGTGATATTTGGTAACCTTCAGCCCCACTTTAGAATGAGTGCCTTTTTTATTTTGTGACCCTTATGGTGTTACTATTAGAAGTAACACTAAAATGTTAGTCATAGATTATTTACAACATCCTTGATTTTTAAAAAATATTTATTTACTGTATATGTTTTGGTTTGTTTCTTTTTAAAGAAACAATTTAATCCTGCATCTTTTTTTTTCAGATTGAAAAAATTCTCCACCTTCATTTTGCTTACTGTATTTTAACTTAAACATTTTTAATTAAATTATATTTTGTTTTTATAGTGCTGGGGATTGAACCCAGGGTCTTGAGCCTGCTGGGCAGATGTTCTACCATTGAGCTATATCCCCAGCCCCTACAACAGATCTCTTGGACTAACTGAAATTGTATATTTTTAAATTAACATCTCTTCCTGCATAGCCCCTGAAAACCACCATCTACTTACCACTTCTTTGAGATAAACATATTTAGATTCCATGTACTAGTGAGGCCTTGTTCTTATCATATTCTTATTTATTTTGTGTCTTTCTATAGTGACCGGAGCAGTGCATTTAATATTTATGTTCCTTTCTTAACTTAATTCTAATTTCCTACAATTGTTGAATCTTTTTATCTTGTCCTGTTTTAGAGCTGGTCTTTTAAAAATACTTTGAGTCCTAGGGGTTGAACCCAGGACCTTGCACCATAGTAAGTACATACTTAACCACTGAACTACATCTCCAGACCCTAGGGCTCAATTAAAACTTGTAAAACAATGACTTTTGGTGTAAGCCGTTTTTCTTCTCTTTTGGTTCCAGATATACTTGTTGCCTTTAGACTGGTACTGAGGCATATATACTCTGTTCTCTTCCCACATGCCACACCTGGCTCTCTCCAGTATGTGCTTATTGCTCATCTGAAAGTATCTACATTTTGTGGAAAATGGTGGTTCTTAACATATTGTTGCATGTCTATAGTCTGGAATTGAGATTTTTAACTAATGAAGTTAGTTTTAATCATGTGTTTCAACTCACACATTCCTTAGGTAATGTTCAAGTTCTCAAATGAGCTTGTCTCTAATCTACCCTATTTCAGAAAGTCAGCATTTGGGTATCTCCTTAGGAAGTTGGCCATGGAAGGAAGTATGCTGGAGTAATAGAGAACTAAAATAAAGGAAAAATTATGTTTTTTAAAGCCAATTAGAAACTTAATAAAATTGTGGAAAGTAAAAATACCTATGAAATAATTAGGTATAACAAGTAACATACTACTAAAGACCAGATAAAATAGAATTACAAACTTTTAGAAGAAAGTAAGACATAAGATTGTAAGGGACCGCCGATCGACGGAGGAAGAGACCACTAAGAGACAGACTCATGCAACAGCAAAAGGGGGTTTATTGCAGATCCAGCGCGCTGGGGCTACGTGCTCACTCAAGAAGGGAGAGCGGCCCAGAGGCCAGAGCAGGGGTTAAGCAGTGCTTAAAACACTTTTTGGGGAGGGCGGGGGCTTTGCATACATCAGAGCAAATCATCATGAGGTTCCGGAAAATCGAACAACAACTCTCAAACATGATTAGTACATTCATTGGCAGGAACATGTCGGGCGGGGGTGATAGGTCAGTCCTAAAGTGGGGTGTACATTCAAACTGATTGGTTTAGGCCCTGAAGTGCCTACGTGCTGAGCTGCACTGGGACCAAGTCGGTAAGCAACTAGGGGATATTCCTACACATATCTAATGGGCAGTCCCGGGAATTGTCTTAACAGCTACAGGAATTTCGGGCTTTGAGTGTAGCTTAGAAACTTAACAATACCTGGTCCTTTACATTTTAACTCTGGCTTTGCAGCTTAGAAACTTTACAATACCTGGTTCTTTACATTTTAACTTCAGTTTCTTTTACCCTTTCAAGATATATTAGGATAAAAGGCAGAATTGGTTAAGTTCATTGTTCTTAGTGTTAAGGATTCAGAGTAGAAGACAAGATTTTTTAGGCCACGTAAACTGGTAATGATGAATACCTTCATCGAGAGCTATGGAAGTGCATAGAAGAAGTATTTAGACCAAATTGGAGAGTCTCAGAGAGGGATGACTTCAGAATAAAGTTGTTTTTTTTTTTTCCTTAAGCCAGGTATATTGAGGTATAATGTACATACAATGAATTTATCCTTTTAAAGGGTATGGTGAAGTTGACAATGTAGAGTAATCATCTCCCATAGTGAATAATGCAGTGAACATTTAAGTATAGTTCTTTGTGTTGACATAAATATCTTTCTTTTGGATAAATTCTGAGGAATGGAATTGCTGAGTCTAATGGTTAAGCACATATTGAAATTTACATGATACTGCCAGATGGTCTCCCAAGTGAATATGACATTCAGCATTCCCATCAGCAATGTGTAATAGTTCCATTTGTTCCCCATCTTTGTTAACACTTCCTACTGTTAGTCTTTTTTAGTCATTCTAATGGTTTAAAGTGATATCATTTTAATTTTAATTATAATTTTAATTTGCCTAATGTCAAAAAGGATATTTAGGGCTGGGGATGTGGCTCAAGCAGTGGTAGGGTGCTCACCTGGCACTCATGTGGCCCCTAGGTTTGATCCTCAGCACCACTTACAAAGATATTGTGTCCACTGAAAACTAAAAAATAAATATTAAAATACTCTCTCAAAAAAAAATGAAAAAAGAAAAAAAAGGATATTGAGCATCATACAAGTATAGTGCCAGTCTTGTTTTTCTTAAATGTGTCACTCAAAGAGCATAAGGGTTTTAATCTTTATGAAGTCCAGTGTATCAGTTTTCTTTTGTATTTCATGCTTTTATGTGTTCTCTAAGATATATTTCCCTAACTCAAGATCACTAAGATTTTCTTCTATTTGTTTGAGGAAATTTCCATTATAAGTTTTACCTTTTAGGACTTTACATTTACATTCATTTTGAATTAACATTTATATGAACTACAATGTGCATTGTTTTGCAAATGAATGAACAATTATACAGGAACAATTGTAAAGGGCATTATATTTCTCAATTGAATTACTTTGTCCTTATTTGAAAATCTCTATGATAAGTCATTTGTAATTGCTTCTGTTTCTGTATTGCCTGGTTCATTGAGCTCTATGTCTATCCTAAGGCTAATATCAAGTCATCTTGATTACTATAGTTATAAAACTAAGTGTATTTTGAATTCATTCACCTAGTTTGAGTTTACCAACTTTTTTGTTTTTTCAGAATTTTTCTGACTATTCATTATATATATCAGTTGAAAATTAATTTAAATAAAAACAAAAGAAAAATTAATCTGGCTATTCTAGGTTTTTTGCTTTTCTATGTATACTTTAGGATCAGTTTGACAATTTCTACAAAAACCCTGCTGGGAAATGTTTTGGAAAATTTTAAGAAAATCTGGAGAGAATTGACATCTTATTAATATTGAATCTCTTTCAATCTACAAACATGATATATCTCTTCATTTATGAAACTCTTCTTCTTTGATTTGATTCACTAGTGTTTTGTAGTTTCTAGCCTGTAAATCTTGCACATATTTTGTTAGATTTGAACCTATAGATTCCATATTTTTTGGTAATTTAAATAGGATTTCTTCAACAAATATTCCCATTTCCAATTTTTGTTGCCTGTATAAATGAAAGTTTCTATATTGAGCTCATATACTATAACTGTGCTAAACTCACTTGTAGGTTCAGAACTTTTTTTTTTTAAGACTCCTTTTTACTGATTGATAAGAACACATTTAATTTCTTCCTTTATAATTTGTATATATTTTTAGTTATTTTTCTTATCATATTTCAGGGAGGCTGCAAGTACAGTGTTGAATACAAGTAGATAACATGGATATCCTTGTTATTTTTCCTTAAACTTGGGGAAAAACATTTGAGTCTTTCAGTATAATATTAGCTATAATTTTCATAAACACTAGGTTGGTGGTTGAGTTTTGTCAAGACCTCCTTTTCACATTGCTGGTATAAACCCTACTTGGTTAAGATGGATTTTCCTTTATATGTACAGTTACAGTTTTATATGTATAAACATGTTGGATTTTTATATATAGTTAGATTCAGTTTGCTAATCTTATGTTAGGATTTTTTTGAATCTAAATTCATAAGGGTTATTTATGCCTTTCTTGTAGTGTGCCTTGATTGTTTGGTTTGGTATGAGAGTAATGCTGATCTCAGAATGGATTGGAAAGTGTTTACTTCTGTTTTCTGGAGAAATTTTTGTAGACTTGTTGCTATTTATTCCTCTAGTTTTGACAGAATTTTTCAGTAGAACCATCTATATGTTAATATTTCTTTGTGGGAAAGTTTTAAAGTATGACTCTATTAGATGTGGAGCTATTTGGGCTATGTATCACTATTTTTGTGAGCTTTGATGATTTTCCTTCCAAAAGAGGTTGTGTATCACATCTGGCATTTCAAATTTATTGGTATAAAATTTCCCATGCTGTTACTAAATTATTTTAATTGTATAGGGTCTGTAATGATTCTTTCCACTTTTGTTCTTGCTACTGGTGTTTTCTGTCTTCTTTTCTGCTTGATCACTCTGACTAGATATTCATCAATTTTATTAACTTTTCAGAGATCTAGTGTTTGATTTCATTGATTATTATTTTCAATTCCATTGATTTGTATTTATTATTTTTTTTCTTTTGACCGCTTCAGATTTAAATTGCTCTTCTTCGCTGAGACTTTAAAAAAAAAAATATATATATATATATTTCTTAGTTATAGATGAACACACTACCTTTATTTTATTTATTTATTTTTATGTGGTGCTGAGGATCGAACCCAGTGCCTCATATGTGGAAGGCAAACGCTCAACCACTGAGCTACAACCCCAGCACCTTTTCTTTTGTTCTTAAAATAAACATTTAATAAAATTTCTTTTAAGTATTAATTCATTTATATTCCACAGATTTTTATGTTGTGCTTTCATTGAATTCCGAACATTGGCTTTTTTTTTTCTTCTTTTCATTACCAGGGATTGAACCCAGACCCAGGCCTCTACTACTGAGCTACACACCAGCTTTCCCATTCCTCTTTTTTTGTTTTTTAAATATTGAGACAGGATCTTTCCTAAAAAATTTAAAAACCTTCTAAAATTTGATGTTTTTAGATATACCAGACAGTAGGGTATATTTTGACACATATATACATGGGTTGCAACCCATTAGAGTTTGACCCCATTCTTTTGGTTGAACATGATCTAGAGTCACACTGGTCTCTCTAAGTGGCATTGGCAGTCTTTGAATTTGTAATCCCTCTGCCTCAGTCTCCCTTGTGTCTGGCATTTCAGGAGTATGCTGTGGTACCCCTTAATCTTTTCTAATTTACCTTTTATTTCTTTTTTGAACCATGGATTAGAGATATGTTATTTGTGGATTTTCTTGATATCCTTCTCTTATTGATTTCTACTTTAATTCTGTTGAGTTTAGAGAAGATAGTTTGAATGATTTCAATCCTTTTAATATTTATTTTGTGGTCCTAAATATTTGGTCTATTTTGGCACATGTTTCATGAACATGTCATGCGTATTCTGCCATCATTGAATGGAATGTTTTCCAGTATCAATTAAATTATGTTGTACCTGAGTAAATTTTGAATATATTAGAATTAACCAGGGGAAGAAAAGATGAGAAGAGGCACAGAAGTATAATGTGATAGAGCATAATCAATTCCTTCTATTTTTAGCTGAGGAAATCTTAGTGGCCTGAGTGATACAGCTTGTCCAAAGATATATGTTGGAGCTACAAGTGCAATCCACATTTCCTGAATAGCCTTTAAAGTTTATCAGGATGTTTTCACTAGAAGTCATGAACTAAGCTGGATTTGACTTGGATTTTGATGACAAAGAAGGGGGAATTTGGAAATAGCTTTGTTCAAGGTGGGAATTCAAAGAATTTGTTGATTCTGCTGACAGGGACTCTATAGCTTCTAGTTTATGTGTGATGGCAGAAATGCCTGGACTTAGTTTAAGCAGTTAGAACTTGGTGTATCAACAGAAATTTTATAGCCTTTAGTATTGGGGTATCTTTTTACATGCACATAATCACCTGGGGCCTCTTGAAGATCACATGAGCAAGATCCTTAATTTTCTTTAGTATTTAATTGAGAAAACAGAAGTTCAGAGAGATTAAGTGATTTGCCAAAGCTCACACAGTGCTTGGTAGACTTAGGTTGTTATTTGTTCCATGATTCAGACACTGTTTATTATTTATTTTACTAACTCTAATCAGCTGTTTTAGAAGGTGTGCTGTTTTTCATAAAGATACCAAAATATGAGGTTGTAGTTAGATTAATAGAATTTTATAGTCCATAGTTTCCCTATTCGGATTCTAATGCTATTATTGAGCCAGTAATCTTTAATGAGTAAAAGAGAATATGTATTACCCTGTTTGTGTGTGGTGCGAGTGATTGAAACCAGGTTCTTCCCCAAATTAGACAAGTGCAATATTACAGCCCCCATATTACACTTTTTATTATCATAGTTTAACAGTCTGCAGTGTACATACTAGTGTTCAATGTGTTACAGCCGGTTTTGTGACTCATGATTTTTTTCTTAGGAACAAAAGGCTCTTTCTGAGCTTTGTAGTTGCCTAGTTTCTAATGCAATTATTAGATTTTTTCCCCCAATTACTTCTCATGTCTAACTTCCCCAAATACTTTCACATCCATTTCATTCCAAGTTTTTGACAAGCCTGTAGGACAGAGCAAGAAGTATTTTTTGCTTTTGGCTCCTGAGATAATTAAAGCATGTGCCATTAAAATTGATTAAATACTGTATATTGGGCAGAGTATAGGGCACTGGGGCTATCAAGATAAAAAAAAGTCAAGAGTTCTCTCTGAAGAGCTTATTAGAACTCAGGCCACTTAGTTTTAGTTGCATATCTTTTTAAGTTTAGAATTATTTTTCAGCTAACTAATTATTTTTCAGCATCTATCTGCATGAAGCTTATACTTTGAGAACTTTACTTTCATGCTGGATTTGTTTCTGTCCCTATCTCCCCACCTACTCCTTTACTTGTATATATATTTATTTTCTTCTGATATAAAAAATAATTCATGGGGACTGGGGCCGGGGCTCAGTGGTAGAGCCCTTGCCTAGCATGCAGGAGGCCTTAGGTTCCATCTCCAGCACCAGAAAATAAAAAAAGAAAGAGAGAGAGAGAGAGAGACACACACACACCCACACACCCACACACACCCACACACACTCACTCAAACACAGTCTGACTAATCAAGATTGCATTTACTTGCTGGGTGAGGTGGTGCACCCTTGTAATCCCAGGAGCTTGGGAGGCCAAGGCCGGAGAATTCAGAGTTCAAAGCCAGCCTCAGCAATTTAGCAAGGCCTTAAGCAACTTAGCAAGCCCTGTCTCAAAATAAAAAGTATAAAGGCTGGGAATGGGTCTCAGTGGTTAAGCACCCCTGAGATCAATCCCCCATACCAAAAGGAAAATAAAAAGTAATACATATTCTTTTGGACAATTTGGAAAATTTTGAAAATGGTAGAGAAGAAAAAAAATTTTAAGATTGTTTAGTTGTTGATAGACCTTTATTTTCTTTACTTATATGTGGTGCTGAGAATCCAACCCAGTGCTTCACACATGCCAGGCAGATGCTCTTCCACTGAGCCACAGCCACAGCCCAAGAAGAAAATTTTTAAAAAATATGTAACCCTCTGCCCAGCTATAATCATTGTTAACATTTTGATGAATATAATTTTAATCTTTTTCCATGGTATATATGTCTGTAAAACACTTAATATGATTTAAAATTCCCAGTCTTGAAACTGATTTCATAATGCTTTTTGTTTTGCCTTGTAATATGGAAAAACTTCTTGATTACAAATTTTTTATATAAATTATTATAAATTTATGATTGTAGACTTGTCTTTTGGTATTGTTGCATTTAGTTCAAAAAAAAAAAAAGGATGTAGGTAAATAGGAATGTGCTTTAAAACTTGTTTTAGTAGTAGAGATTGTTATGGAAGTCAGGTGAATGTTCCCAGGAATGTTCTACTACTGTCTTGGGCTGCTTTATCTCTCTAGCTAGAGATAGAGATCAATTATTTGGTTCTGGTAGCCCTCCTTGTCTTTCTTTCACTTGAACCCTCACTTTCATACTTCACAACAGGAAAAATTATTACTAGTTTTTAAAGTCACACAACTCTTTCTAATAAACTAATTAAATCTATTTGTATATTTTATTGTTGGACAGTTTATATTATTTTGAGTTATTTTACATCTCAATTCTTTAGTTTTTTAAAAAGTTTTATTCTTCCTACCTTTTAGGTGGAACTGAGTTAGGGTTACACTGTATTGTATGCAGCACCCATCAGTAGTGTCTGAAAAACAGTGATGTGCAGATAGGAACTAAGTAGCCTATTAAGACTTTATGGATTGGCTACTAATATCTTTAAATTGTGCTTTTGAAAATAGAAAATAATATTAATCTCAACATTTTTCTAGGGCTTCATATTTTCAAAGCATTCATATAGACTAACAGGGCTGTTTTCTTTGACATCAGAGCATGTATAGTATGCTTGTGAAGTCCTTCAGGAATAGCTATGATACCTCAGAATTGTTTGTGGGAAAACATGTGGAATGCCTGTTATCTCACGTGATGCTTTTATGAGACCTTTGACTAAAGCAAAAGATCACCTGGTCTTTTGTTAGCTGATTTGTTTTCTGCTGGTTTGTTTAATGTAGCCAGCCTTTTCCTCACCATTGAAGTATACTGTATTTTAACTGTCAATTCTCTGATCATGTTAAAACGTGAATGGAATCAGAAGAACTAATTGTGTGTTTTCCTCCTCTCTCAGATTCATGCCCGCAACCAAAATGAAATAATTTTTGGACTAAATGATGGCTACTATGGTGCTCCATTTGAACATAAGGTAAGAGGATTCTTCTGAAGCTGTAAGTTTTGTATAGTGCAGGTGTGCCTTGCACCTGAATAGACATAATCCTGTAAAGCTCTGTGTAAATAGAATTGTGTTTTAAGTATCATTGTTAGTTTGTTGTGTAGTGTGGCTTAGGTTGAATGCTCTTTAGAGTGAAAACTTGTTTTGTAAGGCATATAACCACTCCAGTTAATCTTTTCTAAATCCAGATTATATTTTCTTAAAGGAAAACATAAACTAGCTGTTTTCTCATATTCCACTTAATTCTTTGGTGGTTAAGAAAGAATGGTAAGGGTCTGGAGCTGGGGCTCAGTGGCAGAGCACTTGCCTAGCACATGTGAGGCACTGGGTTCCATCCTCAGCACTGCATAAAAATAAATTAATAAAATAAAGGCATTGTATTCATCTACAACTAAAAATATTAAAAAGAAGAAAGAATGGTGAATTTTGATTAAATGCAGTAGTTTTATTAAAATGTTTCAGAAGTCTTTTCTAACGTTCAGTAAGTTTAAGAAACCAAAAGTTATTTTTTTTTTGTTTGTTTTTAAATAGTCAACACTATTTCTATGTCTGAAAGCCATTAGAGCAAGGAGAGGGCAGAGAGCTTATATTCACCAAATATTTACACTCTGGTACTCTGCCAGATAACCCGTGTTCTTTTCCCTACTTAATACGAGCCATGAACAAATATGATGAGTTTTGTCTTCTCCATTTTATAGATTAGGAAACAGATTGTGAGCGATGGACTTAGAATCTAAAAAGGAGCCAAGTTGAGATTTCAGGTTATCTGCGTCTAAAACCTGTGCTCTTTCTGTTTTATGGTGTTTTACCTAAAAATTTGGAACTCTATACCTAATTTGCTCTTAGTGATCATGTTGTTTCATAATTCTTGGTTGTCTGAAATGCCATTGCTTAGCATATTCCATTCATTCAGCAGCGTTTTATTGAGCACCTATTGTATGTCAGCTACTGTACTCCAAGTGCTAAGAATATAATGGGGAAGCCAGGTGCTATGGTGCACTCTTGTAGTCCTAGCCACTGAGACAGGAGGGCACTTGAGCCCAGGAGTTCAGGTTAGCTTATTCTACTGCCTCAAGAAAGGCCTTCTTGGGGATTTGACTTTTGAAGCTGTAATCCAGCAAGGGCAGGTTAACATGCCAGAAGGCCATGAAGTAGAAGGGGGCATGGCAAGTCTGAGAGACTGAAGGAAGGTCAGAGTGATGAGGAAAAATGATGCCAAAAGATTTTACCTAAGAACAGGGGCCTGTATTGAAGGATTTTTAGCGTGGCAGTGTTGTAAATCAGATTTGTGTTTTAATGATTTTACTCTGACTGCAATAAGGATGATTATAGAAGAGGCAAGAATGTATGTGGAAAGACAGTAAGGAGCCTCAGGTAAGAGATGTTGATACTTTAAGATAGGAATGTGGTAGAATGAAGAGAACATAGATTTAGGGTTGGGAAGGTGCTAGGAATCCAACCCAGGGCCTTGCTCATGCTAGCAAGTGCTCAACCACTGAGCTACACCCCAACTCCAGAAGAGAGACTTAGGAAACTTTTAGGATATAAAATCATTATGACTTGATAATAGTTTTAATTTAAGGTAGAAAAAAGATGTCAAGTATGACTTCTGGATTTCTGGCCTGGATGAAGTAATTGGATGGATTAAGGTGCCTCGTACAGAAAGCTAAGGGACACTGAGGAAGACCAGGGTTGGTGGAGGCAGATGGTGAGTTAAGTCACCTGGTCATGCAGAGTTTGAGATACCTTTGAGACATTCATGTGTGAAAGACAAGTAGGCATTCAGATAGATGAATCTGGAGTTCTGAGATCTTAGTTAGAGTCATAAATGTGGGGCCAATGGCAAATAGTTATTGAAATTATAAGTGTGGATAACATAGAGTAGGAACAGTGAGGGGAAAAAAGGGATCTAAGTAACCATGCTTTGAGGCCCTCCTGCTGTTAAAAGCCAGGTAGAGAAGGAGGCATTGGGAAAGTGATGAGGAGGAATGGTCAGAGGAAGAGAGTAGAGTTTCTTGTAGAATATCAGAGACTATAAAGAGAGGAGAGAGCTTTTGGTTCATTTTTTGTTGTTGTTGGTTTTTAAAATTTGTCTTTCTGTTTATTTTTTAAGGGGATGTGAGGCCAAATAAAAAGTAAAAATTGCCCATTGGACTTAGTAAAATGTAATTATTTTAGGGGAGTTTTAGGAAACTCAGTTCAAACCATGATAGACTTTTTTTTTTCTTTTTTAGAGCTTCATTTTTTGAGTTCTTACAGTATATCAGCATCCTATGTATCCTTTTGACATAAAATAAACCACTTAGTAACTAAGCTTGTTTTTCTCCTTTCTAGTGTATAAGTTTCTTTTTTTTTGCATATACTTATACATGACAGTAGAATGTATTTTGACATATACATACATGTAACATAACTTCCCATTCTTATGGTTGTACATGATGAGGGTTTCACTGGTTGCATATTTATATATGGACATAGGAAAGTTATATTTGATTCATTCTACTGTCTTTCCCATTCTCGTCCTCCCCCCTCCCCCCATTCCAATTAGGTGAAACCACACACACACACA